GGTTTGGGATGGGCGGTATTTCAGTTTTTCAGGAAACTCTTTCACATATTTTGGATTGTGCTTGGGGTCAGTAACATCTTGAAAAATGGCAAGACCACAGAGTTTTACGACACTGGATCATTTTCTTCTTCGGTATTTCTCAACAAACTCATCAACTTGTAATTTAGCACTAACAACTGCCCAGCACCAGATACAGCAGTATATCACATTATAATTGGGATGAATCTATCCCTCGAAAATGGTCAGGAGGTACTGTCACACACAAAAAAATGCCCCTGTGCCCATACTGGGGGTGGATTTGATCCCAAATACACACAAGCAAAACAGTGTTAAATACATCACACCCTTTTGATGAGCAAAAAGGGAAAAACCAAACAAGGATTAAACTGTAATTGAATTAACAGAATATACAAAAATATATCAATAAAAATGAAGTGCCATAAATAAAGGATGAACCTTTAACCTTTCAGAGCCCACTCAGCACAATAGTGCTTAGATGACATGCTGTAGTCAGCAAGCTTCAAGACATTCTAATTTGAACAAAAATTAGAATGCCTCAGCGAAGTTGACATGAAAATGTTGACACGTGGAATAAAACTGGAGCTGTTAAGACAATGAACACAGCCAACGGTATCATCCTCCTTCGCGCAGAGATATTTTCCCTTACAACTGCCCTTAAAAAAAAAAAACTACCCTTGCAGCTTTTTTTTTTCTTTCTGGGAAAGAACCTCCCCACCTCCTTTCAGATTCCCCAAATAATGCTTTAGCCACCCTGCCACGCGCGAAAGAGAGTGGATAAAGACAGAGAGGAGGGGGGGGTGGGCTCCATCCTCTGGGCTGCTGTCAACATTTGGGGAAACAAGCGAGACGAGCCTGAAATGAACTGAAACCAAACAGTTCCAGCTTCCTCGAGAGCTTCCTCCTCTGAGCGGTACACCGTGGTGTGGGCAAAAACTCAGTCAGCCACAGGAAGTGTCTCCAGCTTCTCCTGGGGTGGAAACTATTAGCTAGACTGGATTCCCTGCAACAGTGTGGCTATGTTATCGTTGGACGACTCTTCCAGGCAACGCTGTATTGTAAACACGACCACATGGCTGAATATAGAAGGAAGACTCACTGGACACAGTTGACTATCCTCACCACAAACGGTTTTTTTTTCCTGATGCGTGTTGGCGAAATGCGTAAGACGACCTTTTTTTCTGGCCGTCCGCATGTCATAAGCAGGAGTGACACAGAGAAAGGAAAGTCTGAACACCGGGAGACTAAACACAGCGGGGGAACACGAGAGAAAGCACTACTGCTCACAGCTGACGAGCTACTGTGGTTTTAAATGATGACCTGAGAAAAACCAAGGCAGTATTCTGGGCATCTTCTGAACCACCCTTACTTATTCTCCAAGGTAATCATCTTATCAAGCTTATTGCCATTTGAAAACTGGCAATCTTTGACCTATTTACTCCCTCGATAGTCAATTGCTGATCTTTACAGTATTATTGTTTAGAAGCGTACGTTAACAAACACAGAATGTGTTCGACATTAACCTGTTGCTTTTATCCTGATCAAACTTGGACACAGTTGATCCACTGTAAGTAGATTATAAGGGCATAATCCACACTGATCATTCACCTCATTGTTCTTGCGATGGTTTGAGTGAATCATTGCATGGTACCATGTGACTCATCACACTAACACACGCACAGCAAATCTTAATGAATACCCTATTCCTATCAGGCAACAGCAGGGCTATCCAACTCTAATTCTGTAAAGAACTTACCCAGGTATGCTTGTAAACATTAAATAATCCTTTCATGGACTTTGAACAATTGAACCTTGATCAATTATTATTTAATGAAGCAGATATTCTTTTTCGCAAAGCAACTGATATTTGTGCCCATTTAGTGTGCAGGGCATTTTATGGCCTTCTGGTTCTGAGTCCAGAGTGTTAATTACTCGTTCACTACTTTACTACTAGAGATCATTTGGGACTATAGTTCACTTGTTTTACAGATGACCCAATCAATACCTTAAATTTGTTTTCTTAAACTCTCCAGGAGTTGAAAACCTGTGTTCCACAGAATGAATATCCTGGGAGTATCCTCTGAAGACTTAAGGGAATTGTTCTGAATTGAGCACTATATTGGGTATCATACTGTACATCTTCAAGAGCCGAACTTGGGAAGATTGTTTGAATGCAATGTCATATTTACCTGCATTTAGGGAAAACGCGAGATAATCAGTCTATATTTCTCTAACAGGAAGATGGGTTTCACCATCATCATAATAAAAATAATAAGCTTTATTTGATAAAGTGTCTTTAAAAGTATCTTCTCAAAGCATTTTACGGGGGGAAAAATGGCTGATACAAAAGAAAAAAAGATAGGAGATATCAAAAATCAGCATTCAAAATGTAGAAGATACCAGGAACAGACACTGGCACCAATTACATAAAAACCCTTCTGAAGATTTTGAACCTGGATTTAAGAGCTCTCAGGGTGGTTGACGGTCTGATATCTTTGGGGACAACATTCCTTCTAATTTTTAAAGGCCTGTGTGCGCAAAAATTTCAAGTTGTGATAATGTTTTCCCAGAGGCAAAAATGTGTGCGCACTAAATTGAGTGAATGTCAAATTGTTAACCTGAAATTATTTTTTGTTAATATAGTCTTCCTCACAGAAGCATAGAGATCCAAAAGATGGGGACAGTGACTCAACGAGCCCAGTCATAGAGACTGAGTGCCGGGCGAGCATGAGCCGTGAGGTACGAGACTGCGAGAGCACAGATACCGATTATCGAGTAGCAATAATAATGCACATAGCCAAGTTGGGCCTCTTGCAGCCAGTCTCGTGTGACCAAGTTAGCATTTTTCAATTGATGACCGCATTTGTTTTATCATCTTTTTTTGGGGGGGGATTTAATTTTTTGTGCGCAATTCAATTTCCTATGTGCACTGATTTCATAACCTGTGTGTCCTTAGAAGGAACAATGCTTGGGGGTAGAATTCTATGGCTTTGGGGAACAGCAATAGAAAGTCCTCTCACCCACAGAGAATGTGTAGCCATTTATTTGACGTTTCCAGTAGTCTAACTCTTTAATATAATCTAAAAAGGGACAACAGAATGCCAACAAAGGCATATTTGAGTTGGGATGTGATCCTGCCAGGCTGTGTATTTCAGTCAGCACGAGAAAGGGGGATGGAATTCACTCTCGTGTCAGATGTTACCTACATAACCCAAACTTTGCTTCCTAAAATACTCAATATCACGTGTTGCTGGTGCGTGTGTCTTAAGGGGCTAGGGCAAGGAAAGATTGTCTGAGAAGGCCCATAGGTCTCATTACTGGCCTGCAGCCTACCTGCCTCTGGAGCAGAGGCTGAGATACTGCAGTTGGATGGCTAATCTCTGGGGGAGAGGGAGGGCTGTGTCAATCCACTCCCCCTTTTCCCAGGCTGCTGAAAAGCTGTCATTGATAAAAAAAACACTGCGAGGGGGAAAGGCAAGGAGAGTTCACAAGGCCAGGGTCTCTGGTGGCAGAAGCAGTAAAAGGCTTTCTATTTAAATACACACCTGTTAAGAAACCCACACAATGGCTTAACTGGAGAGGTTCTTGTGCTGTTCCTAAGCAGGATATTAAAGGGGCTTTATTTCCCGATATTGGCACACATTGTTAAGCCCCATGAACAACAAGTGCCTTGAATTGGTCATTGTCCATAATACACAGATCACAATGACCCTCTAGGACAGGGTAACACATTATTTTTTAAGGTTTATTCACTAATTTAATAATTATCTGTATCCTTTTTTGTATTTGAACTGCTCACAAGAGAAACTTTATGAAGCTTTAGAATGTTAAACTCAGTAAAGCACTGGAATAATCTGGGTACATTATTTTATGAACATGTAGAAGAAAAAGCAAAAACACAAATGAACAAAATTTATCTGAAAAAAAAAACCCAAAGATCCCAAGGAAATGTACTAAAGAGTCCCTGTGGTTTCTTATGTCACGATCACATGTTGCTTTAATTCCCAAAACGAAACAGGCAGAATGAAAAAGTAACAAGAGTCAGTCTGCCTCTGGAGTGTGTTCCTTTATTGTTTCATTTTTCATCCAGACCCTTATGAACACCCTCTTTTTAATTTTAAAGCCAACAATAACAGCCTTGCCAGAAAACACAGGAAAAAAAAAGAGTGAAAACAGATTAACTGCTATACAAAAATGCATCCAGACTTTCCAAAATATACCTTGAATAGTTTGAGAAAAAGCTGTTTTTTTAAGACTACTACTGAGAAGTCAGTGCATGTTTCTAACCTGTACATAACATTTAGCATTTACCTGCAATCTCATACAAAATGCACATGCACATAGTGGACTTTTAAGAGATTGTTTTACACGCACAGTTACATACAAGATGAGATAACAGTTTTCATGGCACTAACAATTCAATTTGGGCCATCACAAATTTTATTTCAAATTCTAGCCTCAGCAGTCATTATAAGCAGAAAGTACTGTACAACGCGATAGCATGCTCGCTGCAGTCTAAAGCACAGTTTAAATAAAATAATACGCCAGATATTTTTTGGGAGCAAACTGGGGATCTTTGTTAAAAAAAAAAGATTTAAAAAGAACACATTTGGACAAACAGGAAAAAAAAACCTTTGATTGTATGAGCCATTGAACAAGGAACTGTGAAAACATCTGAAAAAAAAAATCCTACAAAAACAAGCAAGGTTAAAAGGGTGATTTCTTTGAGTTGTCATTATTGGGATAATTTCGATAAATGTGATAGGGTCCTCTCCATCCAATATCTACTTGTTTATAGCTTTATTCCTATTTTTCCTTTGTTGATGAAGCTCAATGTGTAATTATTAGTTCAAGATAACTGTGTGACACTGGCTTATCCTCAATTTGTGTACCTAGAAATTGGGATAATTAAATTGAATGCATGTTTCAACAAGGCTGTGCAAGCTTTTCCCCCCAAGAACTAATTTTTGTCCCTTCTGGTCTTAATTCATCTAAACATGGCCTTTATTTTGTAAAGACATGATAGCAGCCATATCAAACAGCTTATCAGTTTCAACATACAGTACAATGCAATACGTTACGCATACAGTATATATGAAACAAATATGGCCACATGATACTGTGTGCTGTCTGCCTTTTGATGAGGCTATACTCAACCTCTCCTTTTGTGAGCACTGAGCAGTAGTGACTCATTCACCATGTTAGCTGGATAATAGCTCGCCATCCCCATTCCTCTCTATGGCCTTGCTCTTCTATGAAATTCTCCCTCTAATTGCTCTCCGAAGAAGGAGAAAAAAAACAAAACCGGGCAGAAAAAAACAGCATAGTGGGAAGCTGTATTCACAAACCCCCTCACATTGTTTTTAAACAACAAACTGTGAACCTCGTTTTCTATGAAGAAAGAGGCACATCGGTCAAAAGCACTGGATGACTGGGGCTACCATTTGCCAATTCAAGAAGGGCTGGCTTCTTTTTTTTTTTGTTTTTAACGACTGATCGGGTGCAGGATTAATCCCCCCGGTCTGTAATAGAAGTCTCTCGGAGGCTGAATTGCCACTGGTGGAAGACAGGGATGCTGTTGTGTTCTGAGGATTAAACCTTGCAAAGCGAATCAAAAGGCACTTTACAATACAGTAATCAGCATGTTTTCACTCTGAAAAGCCCTACAATTTCCCATTTAGAAAACACAGAGCATTACCTTCTTGTAGTTTCCCACAAAACCCATTCATCTGCGGTTTTATTATATGGATTATACCTATGTGTTTTGTGTATCCCACTGCTTGGCAGACAAGGGCGGAGGTGAAGAAGTGTCTACTCCAAAGTGGTAAGTGGAACCAAGGGGACACCCACGGCTTTTTTCGGCTAATTCTACAAACCACGGAGGAATTTCCATTTTGTTTGCTCCCTGGGGAATTAACCCCTACAAGCTCCCCCAGATCGAAGCTTCCAAAAAACGTACAGAACAGGCAGGAGAGGGCTTTTTTTTAAAAAAAAATTGGGGACATTCGCCGTCACCTGTTGCGAGTTGAAAATAAATGAAATGGAATAGGAAAGCTAAAATAAGCGCCAAAAAAAGGCCAGACTTCGGAACTTTAGAGCTTTGCCCATTTGTAATGGCGGACGGAACACGTTTCTGCATTTTGACACGTGCCTTCTGTGCACTGATGCTTTGGTGAAGCCTTTTTTTTTTGGTTAAATTCTCGTTAACGCAAGCAGAGGACCCTGAACCAATATATCGCAGCAGTGATTTCTGAACGTCGTGCTGTGTCGGTCTCGGGAAATCACGCAGGGCAAATAAGACACAGTGGACGTGTTGTGTAACTGTAGTACTGTACTTTCATTTAACGCTGCAAAGTGGTGTACAACAGGTGAGAAACGGAGATCTAGTTGGAATAAAATCTGAACTCCCTCAAAGATCAACATTTTAAGGCATTCATTGCAAAACAAACCTTGCCACAATGTGGATGGAATTCTCTTTATTAACAGCAGGAAAAAGCATAATACAGGATTTATTTAACAAGAAGACAGAAGGCACAGTTAAGAATACTACTAATACTTTGATAAACACTAGGAGTTTTTCTACTTTGCATCTAAAACAATGCCTTCTTTCAAAATGACACTGCAATGGTCATTTCGATAACCAATAGTCAATCGATGGCTTGCCATATGTTGTGCTTTATTATTCACACATGCAATATACAGTGGATATCAAAAGTCTACACACCCTTTTGGAAATTTCAGCTTTTGATGATGTAAAGGCTGGAATCAAGACAAATCATGTCAGACCTTTGATAAGATATTATAACCAACAATATTTAAGTGAAAAACAAATCGATCATTTTTACGAAAAATAAGTAAAATTCAAAAACTTCCAGGTGTGCTACGCTGATAGAGCCCTATCCAAACAGTCTTACGGTTGTAATCAAAGCAAAAGGTGCTTTTCAAAGTATTAGTTGAAGGGTGTGCACTCTTATGCAACCAAGGCAATGAAAGTGTTTTACTTTTAATTATTTTTTCTTAAAATAATCAATTAGTTCTTCACTTAAATATGGTTGGTCACAAGATCTTATTTAATGTAAAAGAAGGACTGGCACGATTTGCCTTGATTTCAGCCTTTACAAACAAAAGCTGAAATTTCAAATAAGGGTGTGTAGACTTTTATATCCACTGTACTGTATATATATATTGGAAGAACTTGATCAGATCCCTGAACAGAGAACAGAAGATAGCATCTCACTGAGCCAGAAACACCCAAAAATCCTTCAAGTTTTTCAGCGTCTCATTTCTAGGGATATTGTTATACTGTACATTTAGTTGGAATCATGCAGTGCTTACTTACAGTTTTTGGATTTTCTAATTTAAACCAAGGTTTTAAGTAGTACATTTAAGGGACTTTAACTCCGGCAAAATGACTGCATGTTACAGCTTTCTTCCATCATCTTGAAATCTGGGGGAAAAAAAAGAAAATAAAAAAACGCATTAAAAATGCCAATGACATTAATATAACAGGGACAGAAGGAAAAGTATCATAAAACAATGGCCAATATAGCAGATGCACAGGGTCTGAGGGAACATCAGTTTTGTATTTGCTCAAATGGCTTACCTTCATTTGTTTGATAAAAATACTGCCATTTCTTCACACTCCTGAGAGGGGAAAAAACAACAACAGTGAAACTGCAAAAACATGGACTGTACATGGGTTTTTGGCTTTACTCTTTAAACATTGAACAGAATACATTTATGATTACTTGACAGTCAGTTTCACATCAAGAAACAAACATACGTTTGGAAAGCAGTGTAATTTCTACTTGTCACAGAAACGGTGAAAACAATCTGCTTTGGGAATGCTTACTGACATGGTGTTGTACTTCATGTCTACAAAAGACAGAACACGTACTCCTTAAGATTATTTTTTCCCTAAAAAAGGGGAGTGTGATGATATTCTGCTGTTGTTAAAGACAATGCTACTTTGCACCAGACAATATTATTGCATATACAGTACAATGCAATAAACAGTACTAATACAGTAGGCGACCTTGTTCACAAATTAACTATTGTGTTTAAACGAGATATTTTTCTGGTATAAACAAGATTTTTTTTTTTTCTCTGTGGCGCTTATAATCTTCCGTACAAAAGCATAGAAGCTGCAAATTAAACTCAGAAAACTAAAATTCAAGACCGTTCCAACACTTGGCAGATGATATTCAATGAACAGTCGGAAAGGGCCTGCACCTAGTAAAACTAGAAACATTAAATGAGAAACACAAAGCTTTTATGCTTTGTCTTACGTGTGTGTGATGTTTCCTCTCATGGTTAGTGGCGTTATGCATAAATCGCTACCGGTGCTTTCTACTGGGAAAAATGGTTGTAAAGGATTATGACCCTTATTACCTTTATGCTAGCCCAAGACTGCATTCAACTAACATATTAGCAAAAAGGCAGCTAGAGAATTAAATATCTGAGAACAGGTAATGCAAGGAAGAAAGACAAATGAAAGGAAATCAGATTTTCAACCTTCAAACCAAAATTCTTACCAAATCGTCCTGCTTTCAACAGCAGATGCCTCCTGTGGCCATTAGGTGTCCTTAGTGACCGGTCTGAGTAGCAGACTTCCATCCCTGTCCTCCAGTCTGAAGCCCATCTCCCTGAGAGCAGAGTCATCGGCCATGCCGTGTCCCTCCAGTGCCCTGAGCACCTCTTGGTTCTGCTCGTTCTGGTCCAGCATGTTCCGGACAGCAAATATGGCCCACTGGCTGATAACTGCCGTACTCGGTTAAGGACAGAACGTTCGGTCGCTTTCAATGTAGAGGCTTCAAGAATACAACAGC